GCTGTCGATGCTCGAAACACGTACTGATGATATAGTTCATCTTTCGAGCATCTTTAGCTCAACCTGTTCTATGCTTGCTTCTTAATTCCAGACACTCAAAACGTGCGAATCATCATCACAGCAGAGTAAGTTGTTTTAGCTTCTTTCTTTCTTAACTTGTGAACCTTGACTTTAAGATAGTTGTGGAGCATTGAGACTCTCTGTACACGTCAGCTCAATTCTGAATTTAATTTTTAAATCTTTTCAAATTTAAAACTTCAGCGCGTTCAAACGCATTGAAAACCAGCGCGTCTGCACGTCCGGAATGTGACAAAAAACATCCTGCTAAACGCGATACTTTCTATGAAAATTGTAACGCACTCTGACGCGTTTTTTTCGCAGAAAACGTTTGCCTGGGAAGTTATTGTTTTTGCTTTTTTCGTCTATTCACTTGTTTTGGTTTTTATTCAGTGAGATCTGTTATATATTATCGGTTGAACTTACTTACATAGTCAAGATTAAATCAAACTTCTCAGCTATTTTCCCCGAGAAAGAAATTTCGACGTCCGACGAAATCTTTGAATAATCTGCTAAAAGATCTCCTTTTGCACGCTAGTACAAGCGGTTTCCTTACGATAGAATGAGTGGAGATAGCTAAGTAAGTAATTTGGCTCAAGTAGCGTGAATTTGCTCAGGCGTTATTGGGTTAAATCGTTATGTTTCTATGCGTAGACAGAGTATCCAGGACTGTTGCTACTATCAAAAAACTTTTCTCGTTTCTTTTATATAGTTGCAAGTGACACCGTTTGAATAGTTTATCTCTACGGGTAAAGCATGTTTTGGGACAACTTCGAATAATTGAACCTAGAGCCGGTCATGTCACGTACGTGATGTTGAGGTGTTTCATCTTGTGGTCCTTCAAGCATGATCATTCGGCAGTTTTTCGTTAAAACTTATATACTTACAGATTACACTTGAGAGAAGTGGCTATGTGAAATGATACAACAATCGTAAATAATTTAAAATAACTGAACGAAAAGAAAAGACAGAGGTGGTGCAACCACCACATTTTTCGGAAAAACCATATTTATGTACATACACAGGTGAATCACAGAGTAAATTTTTTATCAAATCAC